ATTCCAGTTCTAGCTGTTTGGCTTAGTGGACAGAGTGTCGACCTGAAGGGTCCCAGGTTTGATTCTGGTCAAGGGCACATGCCTGGGTTGCGGGCTCGATCCTCAGTGTGGGGCATGCAGAAGGCAGCTGATCAATGATTCTCTCTCATCATTGATGTTTCTGTATCTCTCTCCCTCTCCCTTCCTCTCTGAAATCAATAAAAATATATTTAAACACACACACACACACACACACACACACACACACACACACACACACACACTGTAATTCCAGTCACCTCATTCTCTGATTAAAACCCTTAAGTGGACTCCAATTTCTGGAATAAAATCAGAAGCTCTAACACAGTTCATACAGCCCTATGTAAGACAGCCCTGCATCTCTACTGCCTCCTCTGGGCCACTCACTATGCTCCCACCTCACTAGCTTCTTTCAGCTCTTCAATGGCCAAGGCCTGTCCTGGCCCATGACTTTTCCCTAAGCTGCTCACTCCTCTTGGAACATCCTCCCCATCACTTCTTCACAGTACACTCCCCCACCCATTGTTTTCACCTTATAGAAATGGTTCTTTTCTCCTGTAGCAATTTTCACAATTCGCTTGGGTTTATTTGTTTCATGTCTATTTTCCCCACTCTTCTCCATGTATATTCTGTTTACCACAGCCAACAATATTCAATTTTTATTGAATCAGTTAAGAAATATTTCTTCCAAACCTTCCAGTCCCATAGGTATCATATAAATATTGAAATTGGATGGAAGGAATTTGGTGAATATTATCCAAAAAGTTGGCTTATACTTCCGAGAAATTAGGGTGGAGGGAGCAGAGGGCATTTGAGAGGAGAAATATTAATGCAGCAAGTGATGATTAGGTTGCAGAGAGAAACCTTACAAAAAGGAGTCAACCCACTGTGATTCTCGGTGTGTTTGAGCTCATGAACTTGTATTGCTCTATGATGCCTTTTCCACTCAGTCAGTGCCCTGACTTCTGTCCTAGTCCTCTGCTGTGCAATGAAGCACAGCTCTCCCCACCCCCCTGTGGGAGGGATCAGGGAATGGGATCCAGACAACTGACTGGGATCTCTCACTCCCGTGCCAGGGAGCAAAAGTTGGCAGAATATATGCAAATATGTACACAGCCACAATCACGGGAAGTTTTGTTTTTTAATCACAGGGAATATTTAACACACTAGTTTAAAAATTAAGAGCTCAAACATACAAAATTTGAAAAAGACAGTTAACAACTTTGAGCTACTGGACTTATGTATAATTGCACACCTTATGGTTATTTTTAAAGTTTAACACTATATGGTGCTTACAATGTGCCAGGCGCTGTTGTAAGTGGTTTATAGCAGCTTATTAAAGAATTAAAAAGTACACATTCTTTCTCAGGTTATTTGTAAAAGTGATCTTGTAGTAGGTCACAAAGCAAGTCTCAACAAGGAAAATTCAATAGCTATAGATCTAATCATATGTAGTAAAAGAACAAAACCAAATAAGATAGCAGGTTCCCTGATAAAGACCAGAAGAGGCAGGGAAGGAGAGAGGGGATGGGTGAAGTGAGAAAGTGTTAGCTCTACCACTGCACTGGTACAGAAGAAAAGTATAAAAATCAATACAAGACATGGCCGAAGGCATATCCAAACCCACAATCTGCCAGAGAAAGTGTGCCAGAGTTTATGCTGCCCACTTTCATTTTTTGCTGCCTCATCTCATTTTCATACCAATTCTGTTAAGTACAATTAATTATTCCTATTTTGTAGATGAAGAAGCCCAGAGAAGTTAGTAACTAGGCCAAAATTACACAACTGCTAAGTGACAAAGCCAGGAGTTTACCTCAGGTCCGCCTGACTCCAAAGTCCACGCTCTTTCCACATCACCATGTTTATAAAAGTCACAAAAATATAAATACCATAAAATTCCACTTACTCAACACTCTTGGGATGAGTCATGCTGGACAGATGAGTAAGTGAAAGGCCACCCTCAGGAAGCATTGTTCAAAGCCCTCTGCGGTGAGAGCAGAGAGGACTCCAGAGGCCTCTGGGGAGGAGGCTGCTCCTCCCTGTTCCGTCTCCATTCCGTCTCCCTCTTGGGCTTCTGGCATTGGAAGCCCAGCACACCTGGTATCTAACTGACATGCTCTTCCAGCAGAAGATGGCCACAGATTCCCTTTTCTTTTTTAAAAAACCTCGCTGAGGATTATTGAGTACAAACCCCAACCAGGGATTGAACCTACATCCTTTTCTGGTGTATGGAATGACACTCCAACCTAGTCATCCGGCCAGGGCTCCTTTTTCCTTTTTGCTCCCTCAAAACACAAATCAAAGACTGAAAATTCAGAAATAATTTTAGCACAAACTAAGGAAAACAAAACAGAAAGTGTTTACTGAAAATACACCAGTTGGATTCCCAAAGCACAGTTTTCTGATACCAGACTGGGCACACAACGAGTCCTGAATGTTAAACACTGCCCCCTTGGTCCTAAAGGGCGTCATGACTCTGTAGGCCTATTTTTCGTGTCGTTCCTCAGTATTTTGCTATCTCCTGGCCAGGTGGCTTTCAGTATTTATCTTGTTCATAGTTCTTGAAATGGGTCTAGTGATTCAGTCTACTACTTCCATATGTAACCGCTCTGAATTTTAGATTCCACATCTGCATAAAAAGGGAATGATGAAAATATCTAACTCAGATCAAATAGGGAGATCATGTAAGTATATGGCACATAGTAAGCACTCATAAGTTATTTTTCTTTTCTTTCCCATCTCTGAACCTGTGCAGAATCTTCTCCTTCTCCTTCTTCATCATTATCTTGACAATTATATCTAACTAGAGGCCCGGTGCACAAAATTTGTGAACAGGTAGAGTCCCTAGCCGTGGCCGGCGATCAGGGTCGATTGGGGCCTTCCGGCTTCTGCCGGCCAGGGTCTTCCTTCATTCTGTGCCACCCCCTGGTGGTCAGTACACATCATAGCGAGCGGTTGAACTACCAGTTGGTTGAACTCCCGAGGGGACAATTTGCATATTAGCCTTTTATTATATAGGATGACTGAGTACTATGTTCCAGGCACTGTTTTAAGCACTTGACATGCATTAATTAATTTATTCCTAATCACAATCTTATGAGGTAGGTTCAATGACCGCCTTAATTTTATGAAGACACGGAGGCACCGAGAGGACAAACAAGTTACCCAAGTTCAAAAGCTGGGACTTCAATCTAGCCAGTCGGGTTCCAGAACCACCATGCTATACCACATACAAATGGACTCTTCTGTGTTAAAGTTAGCCATCCAGACCTACATCCCTCCACCTAGTTTGCCTTTCTGGTCTGTTTCCAGCTCCAACCGGCCTATAAAGTGGACCTTAGAGTAAGAAGAGAGAGAATTGATGGAATATAAAACAGAGCCCACAAGTATTTCCAATCATATGCAAATATATATTTTATGATTAAAGATGCATCTACTTTATAATTTTCAGTATTGTTTGAATTCTTCGAGCAGACATTTAATACTTCCAAAATCAATTTTAAGACTGCATAAAGTAGATTCACTTGGGTGGGGGGAAGGGGGGATTTCTAAGCATCAGTAAATTTGGAAAGGAAGAAGTGATTATATATAGGAGGAAAGGTTTGTTTGTTTATTTAATCAGTTAAACGGCATTAAAACAATAACTTAGCCCTGGCCTTGTTGGTCAATGGTTAGAGTGTCAGCTCCCAGCAACAAAGGGTCTCGGGTTTGATTCCCAGTCAAGGGCACATACCTGGATTGCAGGTTTGATCCCCACTTAGAGCAAGTGTGGAAGGCAATCAGTTGATGTGTCTTTCTTTCTTTCTTTTCTTTTCTTTCTTTCCTTCCTTCCTTCCTTCCTTCCTTCCTTCCTTCCTTCCTTCCTTCCTTCCTTCCTTTTCTTTCCTTCCTTCCTTCCTTCCTTCCTTCCTTCCTTCCTTCCTTCCTTCCTTCCTTCCTTCCTTCCTTCCTTCCTCTCTCTTTCTCTCTCTTTGTCTCTCTATTTCTTTTTCCCATCCTTCCACTCTCTCTAAAAATCAATGGAAAAATATCCTCAGGTGAGGATTAAAAAAAACAAACAAAAAACCAACTTAGTAAAAAAATAAATATTTCCCCATATCAGTAGGACAGTGATTAAGAACAAGGATTAAGAGCAGAATGGGTTGAATTTTAGCAACAAAACTTTATTGGTTTTTGAACTTTACTTCTAGGTTTTCTCATCTATAAATAGAATAATAATACCTATCATCTAGAGATATTATATTGTCTTAAAATAAGACAATATAATTAAGGTGCTTGGTATGGTACATTTTCTTTACAACATCATTGTAATGGCTGAAGAGTATTCTGTGTTATGACTGAGCTAGGATTTATTTAACCAGTCCCTCATTATTAAACATTTGGTTCATTTTCAATACTACCAATATAAAAACATTTTCATACATTTCTGGTTATTTCTTTAGGGTTAAATCATAGTGCTTTGGTGGATTGAAGAATATCACCGTTGTAAACTGGTAACACATATTATAAAATTATCAACCAACACATAGTTTTACCAAGTTAATCTCTGTATTGAAGGTATTTAGTCAACTACTGCCAATAATGGGTACTATTCTAAAGAAATATGCTAATTTTATAGGCCCCCAAGGACCCATGTTGTTATTTTACTTGCTTATTAGATGTTTCAATTTCTTCTTTTGTTACATAATAAAGTTCTTAGGCTCCATAAATTAGAGTATGAGCTTGGTAGAAAAATAATTAGAAATAAGTAAAAATTTTAATGTAGCATATTAAAGATGTGGCATTTTAAGTTATATATGATGGGATGAATTTTTCCAATGGTTTCCAAAGTACCCTCTGGAGCTTCTTCTGGTTGGGGGGGGGGGGGGTGAGGGGGGAAAGGGGTGGAGGGTAGGAATGATGGCAGGGATGCTATCAGGTTGAAATAACTCTTATCTTGCCCCATTTCAACTGCGCTTATCTGTTTTACATATTGAACTTACTGGTAAGTTGATCTGTAGAGTTCTGAACCTGGAAACAAAACCAAAACCACATTTAACTAAGTTTTTTTTTCCCTTTTATTAAATACTAGAGGCCTGATGCATGAAATTTGTGCAAGAGTAGGCCTTCCACCCTAACCGGTTTGGCTCAGTGGATAGAGCGTCGGCCTGTGGACTGAAAGGTCCCAGGTTCGATTCTGGTCAAGGGCATGTACCTTGGTTGCGGGCACATCCCCAGTGGGGGGTGTGCAGGAGACAGCTGATCGATGTTTTTCTCTCATCGATGTTTCTGACTCTCTATCTCTCTCCCTTCCTCTCTGTAAAAAAATCAATAAAATATATTTTTTTAAAAAGAGAGTAGGCCTTCCTTCCCCCAGCTGCCGGCACCAGCTTCCCTTCGGCACCCGGGACCCGGGCTTCTCTCGCAGAGGGAGGCCCCACCCACCTGCCGCAGCCCACTGGTCGGTGGCCTGGGCCTCCCTCTTCTGGGCGATCATGGAGCCCCCGGATTGATCATCCTGCCGGCCGATGGCCTGGGCCTTCCTCTGCGGGTCGATCTGGGGTGATGGCTGGGCCCCCGACCAATCACATCGCACCTGCCTTGGCTAGCCTGGCGCCAGTGGGTGTCACAGCGTGGTCCCAGATGGTTGTCCGGATGGTCGTCCGGATGGTCGTTCCGCTGTTCAGCCGTTCAGTCGATTTCCATATTATGCTTTTACTATATAGGATACTTTTATTGATTTCAGAGAGGAAGGGAGGAGAGATAGATAGAAATATCAATGATGAGAGAGAATCATTGATTGGCTGCCTTCTGCATGCCCCCTACAGGGGATGAAGCCCACAACCCAGGCATGTGCTCTTGACCATAATTGAACCCAGGACCCTTCAGTCCACAGGCCAGTGCTCTATCCACTGAGCAAAACCGGCGAGGACCCAAAACCACATTTAAAGCAAGATTTTGGGACAATTGGTATTTTGCAATATAAAATAAAAAGATAAGTTGAATCCCTCACATCACATACAAAAATATAAAACATTCAACAAAAAAAAAAACCCTCCATAAATTATCAGAAAATACGGGCAAACATTAACTCCTTTTCAAGCACACTGATAAAAGTAGAGACCATGAGAGATACTATTTGTTCAGTTGTTTTTTTCTAAAATGTGTGCCTCTGATACAGATTCAAAATGTTTTTGTAGCCAAAGTATGGAAATGCTATATATCAATAATTGTCCTAAGGGATGGCTTAGGGCACTAAACACCCCCATTATCTCTATTAGCTTCTCTAGGTCACCCCCAAATACCTGGTATAGCTCTAAATAAAAGTGTGCAAAACAGATGTAGCTGAAGGACACATCCTAGTATCTTATGCTGTGAGCAGACTCTTGACACTAAGCTCTTCCTCTCCCTAGACATTCTGGAGCCATCACTGCTGCTCTCTGGAAAGAGTCACAATGTCATCAGCATAGAAGGCTTCTGAGAAGACCTACAGTGGAAAAAAAAAGAAAACTTAGTTTACTCATCATTTCCTAAACTTACTTGACTATAGGACCCTTCCCTCAACATGATACCTATTAATATCTATCGAATTCATGGAACACACCGTCACAAATATCAAGATATATGAAATTAGTATTTGAATGGGAAAATGCTGATTGAGATGAGCCCTTGTGAAATACTGTCCACTTATTGCTATTTTACCAATGTTCAACTTGAGGTGCTCTTCGATATTGTGATTTGCTGACACCTAGTGCCAATGCTTTAATTTAGCACATACATATCATTTCCTATAATATTTTATATATATATATATTTCCTTTCTCCAATCCTCACCTGAGGATGTTTATTGATTTTTAGAGAGAGAGAGAAAGAGGGATAGAGAGAGAAACACTGATGTGAAAGAGAAACATCAATCGATTGCCTCCCCCAGATACCTCTACCGAGGATTGGGGATCAAACCTGAAACCCCTGTTCACTGAACGATGCTCCAACCAACCGAGCCACCTGGCCAGGAATACAACAACAGAATGTATATTGCTGCCCAATTAAATAAAAACTCCTGCTTGCAGACTGTGTTGGGTTTAAATTCTTGTACATCATAACTATGATGCACTTATACCTTGGAATACTATAAAACGTATGTGTAAATGATTCACAGGGCTAAAAAAGTATGCTCTTCTCTCACCTATTAAAATATGACTTATGGCTGAAACCGGTTTTGCTCAGTGGATAGAGCGTCGGCCTGCGGACTGAAAGGTCCCAGGTTTGATTCCGGTCAAGGGCATGTACCTTGGTTGCGGGCACATCCCCAGTAGGGGGTGTGCAGGAGGCAGCTGGTCGATGTTTCTCTCTCATCGATGTTTCTAACTCTCTCTCTCCCTTCCTCTCTGTAAAAAATCAATAAAATATATTTTTTTAAAAATATGACTTATGAAACTACACATATGGACAATGTGTCTGGATACTACTTGTTCTGACCTTTGCCTTACTTTTGAAAGGAACTGAATTAGACTGTATTTGTGATAGAGCTAGAAGGTTCAGGAAAAGAGGTCAGCCCATTTCTACAGAAACACAAAGTTGTTACTGGAATGAAGATGCAACAGATATTTCTTTTACTAAATTCGTGAACTTTATTTTCTTTTACACCAAAAGTAACCCCTGAGTTCTAAATAAAGGGAAAAAGAAGAGGAGGCAAAGGTACTATAATTGCAGTGGTTATGTGGTCCAGCCATTTAAAATTAATGTTAACTTGAATTGTAAAGTGTTAAATTTATGAGCATTTTGATTCCACTTCTGATCTATATTAAATGTGTCTCTGTATTGTTTACTTTAAAATGTCAATGCAAATGATACTTCCCAGGTCTTTTGCTGCTCGTTCTAGATAATTAGTTCTTTTTAAAAAAAATTTTAATGGATTTTTAGGGAGAGGAAAGAGAAACATTGATGTGAGAGCTGAACATCGATTAGCTGCCTCCTGCACGCCTTCTACTGGGGATTGAGCCCAAAACTCGGCCTGTGCCCTCCTCAAACCAGCAACCTTTTGGTGCACAGTATGATGCCGAACCAACTGAGCCACAATAGCCAGGGCTAGATAATTAGTTCTTTTTTTTTTTTTTTAAATATATTTTATTGATTTTTTTACAGAGAGGAAGGGAGAGAGACAGAGAGTTAGAAACATCGATGAGAGAAACATCGATCAGCCGCCTCTTGCACATCTCCTACTGGGGATGTGCCCGCAGCCCAGGTACATGCCCTTGACCGGAATCGAACCTGGGACCCTTCAGTCCGCAGGCCGACGCTCTATCCACTGAGCCAAACCGGTTTCGGCAAGATAATTAGTTCTTATGTTTTAGTAAAAATTCTAGTGCTGAAAAATCTTGGAATGCCAATTTTAATTGACTATCACTTGATAACTCTGTAAGGCAGTCTTATGCACTATAAGATAGCGTTACTATTTTTGAGTATTTGAGATCTAAATTAAATAGTATCTAATCTAATTATTGCTGGGAACCAAAAACCAATTCTTCACTGTGTATTTACGGGTTCTCTTACAGCTACTAAGTTGTTGTGAATATAAGCATATGTCTCTGTGTGTGTTTTGTGCAATGTCTACTTCTAACTGGAATGTGGCACTGACAGTGCTGGTTCTTTTTTTTTTAAAGCAACTTCTTTTTAAAATATATTTTATTGATTTCAGAGAGGAAGGAAGAAGCAGAAACATTGATCAGCTGCCTCCTGCACGACCCCTACTAGGGACCGAGCCTGCAACCCGGTCATATGCCCTGACCAGGAATCAAACCATGACCTCTTGGTTCATAGATCGAGGCTCAACCACTGAAACACACCGGCCGGGCAGTGCTGGTCCTTTTGATCTTGGCCTGTCTAGGCTATTGTGTGACATGTGATGACTCCACTCGCTATCAAAATTACTGTGAAATCTTTACTACACTGTGTCATGATGTCCTTTAGTTTTTATCTGATAGAAACAAAATCCTAAACTCAACATGAACTCAGGCCCTCAAAACTTCATGTTTTAAGGTGTTCACCTGGAAAATCACAAGCAACGTCACTGTTTTAGATTAGTATAAAAATAGCAACACAAAATTTTTTAAAAAAAATATTTTTATTGATTTCTGAGAGGAAGGGAGAGGGAGAGAGAGCTAGAAACATCAATGATGACAGAGAATCATTGATTGGCTGCCTCCTGCATGCCCCACACTGGGGATTGAGCCCGCAACCCGGGCATGTGCCCTGACCGGGAATCGAACGGTGACCTCCTGGTTCACAGTCGATGCTCAACTACCGAGCCACACTGGCTGGGCAACTTAAATTTTTTAATCTTGCAGAGAATTTGTGGATTTTCTACAACCATATGCTTGGATCTCAAGCTGAGAAATACTGCTGTGGATGATAACCATTCATTCATTTACTTAACAATATTTATTGAGGCCACTGTGTGCTTGGCCCAGGGAATCCAACAATCCACAAACTCCCTGCCCTTACGAACAGCCTTACAGTCTAATGGGGAAGGAGGACAATAGACAAGTAATTATATAATTTCAGATAGTGACTAGTGCTGTAAAGAAAGTGGGCAGGATTAGGGAATGGGGAGCTGAAAGGACAGGGATACTGTTTTAGAAAGGCTGGCAGGAATGGCATCATGTGAGATTTGAGCAGACATTAAAAGAATACTTGGGGAAGAGTTTTCCAGGCAGAAGAGCAAGTTCAAAGGCCTTGAGATAGGAATGTATTTGGACTGTTTGAAGACCAACCAGGAGGCCAGTGTGGCTGAAGCACAGCCAGGAAAAAATGTCAAACAAATAGCAAGGGCCAAATCACACAGGGTCAGTAATGAAGTCATGACTTTGGTGGTTCTAAGGAAAAAAAATGTGATTGCAGAAGGCATGCTTTAGATAGACATGAAGGGAAACTATGTCTCTAAAACTCAACTTTTTTCTTTTACTTTGTAAAATCAACTTTATTTAGATATAATTTATGTACATTAAACACACCCATTTTAAGAGTA